AATAGATAGAGCCTAAAAGTTCGATAATTCCTTTCAATTTTGAACACTAGGTTTTTGGTTCAACTTGTAAGTTTTTGTTACTTGATTGCATTAATGTGAGATTATTTTTTTGGTATGTTGTAATTGATCAGAATATTTGTCGAATATAATGCACCGACCACAAGTACGGGAGAATGATGTGTGCCTGCCTCGATCTCCACTTACAATGAAAATAAAAAACAAATAGGGTAAATCGAATTTTAAAGAAAATATGAATCATACGTTGATGAAAGATTTAAACAAACGAAAAACTTCAACGTCCAGGAGGAATTATACAATTAGGAATGCCCAAGAGTGCATGAATCCTAAATGGAGCACATAGCCATTTACGCTGTGCAGTGGCGGCACCACGGGGAGGACTGGGGAGGACGCGTCCTCCCCATTCGTCGCCGAGACCGATTTTTTAATTATTCTAAATTCAAGGAGAAAATATGAGGGGGGGGGGTAAGGTCACACAATTTGTTAAGAACTTCCTTCAACATATGTCCTTAACACTCATGTATTGTTTGACCGTCCCCTTCCATGTTTTAATTAAGGGGAAAAAAGATGCCTCTGCAACATACTACAATCTAGCACTTGTTCTCGTTCGATCATAGTCAATATAATAATTGACCATCACACACATTCTTCTTACTATGATCTGACAGACAGATACATTTTGATTTTGGAAGAGAATGTAATTATGTGTTAGTTATGAGTTTACCGTAATTAGATGTCAGCCTTCGTGACTGTCGTTTTCATAGACCTGATGATGATATAGTTGGTGCCAAATTTTTATATCAATGAAATGTCTGCCCAGGGAACTTTCCTCGGAATGGGCAAATGGGTTGCTAGATAGATATGACTACTGACCAAATTCTTCAGTTGTGAGATGAGTAGCATGATGGCGGAAGGTAGAGATCCATCAAGAGAAATAATAAATGAGGCCAACAGAGCGCAAGTACTTGATTTGGGACCGGTGCAGCCCATTCTTAACTTTTAAACTTGAAAATCATCGCAAGATTCCATTGTAACATATGCCTTTCTCAAACTAAGGAACTGTTTACATTTTTAGAATTGAAGATTCGTATAAAATAGAGTGATTTTTAGTGTTGTTTCCCCATGTATTAAATAATTCAGCTTCTGTCTCAGAGAGAGTAGGGGGCGTGGTCCGAAAAAATTTCCGCCCAGACCCCCAGATTCTTCAGGGGCAAAGCCCTTACCGGAAATCCTCCCCAATATTTTGCGGCTGGCGCCGCCATTGGTTTCTTTTCTAACATAGGCGTAGAAGACAAGGGTCTGGGGAGGAAAGGGGGCTGCAGCTGCAGCTGTAGTTTCCCAACATTGAAAAGTTTCCAAAAAAGCGATAATCAGGCAGAAATCTACCATGAGTCAGTCAGGCAAAATTTTCATAAACAATGGATGTAGTTTGTTGGGCAACCACTTCAATTTTTTTTCTCACCCTATATTATGCCCATGCTTATTATTTCATTTCTTGATTCATTGTTATTACTATTATTCGAAAAATTAAGTACCTAGCCATCAACCCACCCTGTGAGCCGGTCTGCAGAGTATGGCACTTTTCGACGAGATCTCCGGTGTGCACGAGCAAAAAGCCTGGTGTGCCGGTGTGCACCACCAAAAATGTCTGGTGTGCTGGTGTGCACCGACTATTTTCCCCTGTTGTGGTTAAAATTTGTGAATTTGCATTTTACCGTAAAAATGCGTTTGAAGTATACTTTTGAAGATAGCGCAAGTTTTTATTTGTATATTTGTCAAGTAAGATTCATGATATCTCAAATTGTTCATACACAACTATGCTTGTTTTTATCAGCCACACCCATCTTAGTTGCCACACCCAAAAATATGGGTGTGCAACAGGTTTTGCACAAAAATATCTCCGGTGTGCACATGCCATACTCTGCAGACTGGCCTGTGAGTAATACGATATTATGATATGATATTAAACACAATACCCAATTTATAGGTTTTGTACAAGCCCCAATCGAGCGTGCCACCTTATCAACCGCCCAACTACTAAATTAACAGCGGAGAGGGGGCGTGGTAGATAGACGCTGGAGCGATAGGGAAGTGTTAGACAGCAAGGACCATATCGGGATATTTAGAACAGTCCATTATTTTCCAAAAATTTAAATTTGGAAATCTGACCGTGACCCATGGACTGTCTTTTCCAAAGACCTGATGATGTCTTGGTGCCATAGAGTTGGTGCCAAATCATTATATCAATGAAATGTCTGCTAAGGGAACTTTCCTCGGAATGGGCAAATAGGCTGCTAGATAGATATGACTACTGACCAGAATCTTCAGTTGTGAGATGAGTAGCTTGTTGGGGAGACGAGCAAGAGAAAGTTTTTTAAAAAGTGAGACAACCCTCCGTCATGGAGTCAAAGAGCATGCGCACAGAACGAAGTTATTATTACGCATGCTCTCTGAACCCAGGACGGAGGGCTGCCTCACTCATTTGAAAATTTTCGTTCGCTCGTCTCCCCAACAATAGCATGATGGCGGAAGGTAGAGATCCATCAAGAGAAATAATAAATGAGGCCAACAGAGCGCAAGTACTTGATTTGGGACAGGTGCAGCCCATTCTTAACTTTTAAACTTGCAAATCATCGCAAGATTCCATTGTAAAATATGCTTTTTTCAAACTAAGGAACTTTTTATGTTTTTAGAATTGAAGATTCGTATAAAATAGAGTGATTTTTAGTTGTTTCCCCATGTATTAAATAATTCAGCTTCTGTCTCAGAGAGAGTAGGGGGCATGGTCCAAATTTTTTTTCCCAGACCCCCAGATTCTTCAGGGGCGAAGCCCCTACCGGAAACCCTCCCCAATATTTTGCGGCTGGCGCCGCCATTGACGCTGCGTTATTTTTTTCTAAACTTCTGAATTACCATGAAAGCTGTCCTATTTTGGCAATAACTGATGTTACTAAAAAATATATGTTTATGCCCTTTTTGTTCCTTTTGGCCCCCCCTGCTCAAATCTGCGTCCGGCAGCCCTGTTTTGTGAGTATATCACAGCAACAATATCATTCAATATTGTGTCATCTTATCTGTTTCAAATGATTTTATGGTATATCGAGGAAAACTGTAGAAGCTCTTTCTGGAGCAAATGGTGGATTTAAGGGGGCAACTAGGGGCAGCTGCCCCTTCCTCGACGAGTTGCAGCAAATTTAGTGCCCCTTTTAGGAAAATTGTGCGCCCTATTTAAAGAATGAGAATCAGGTGAAAAAGTTTCTGAGACCGCTAAGTTAATTTGCTTCAAGTTATGTTGTTTATTTCGAAAATGGATCTGGAATTGTTGTATACAGCGTACTCTCGTCACTAATTTTTAAAAATTTTTCAGCGCCCTCGCTACCAACTGCCCCTCCTTCAAGTTTGCTCTTGATCCGCCCCTACCTGGAGTGTCTCGATATAAATCGTTGTTCTTGCGATTATACTACAGTGGAATCCGCTTATAGTCACACCAAAGGTTGCTTGGAAGTTGTGACTGACTGAGTGTAAATGTTATAAAGGACACTAGATTTTTACACTCACTGGAGACGCTGTCGAGATGGGTCTTTAGAATACTTGAATTCGTTACTGTAAACCAAGGGGTTTCCATCAAACGGCCCGCGGGACAGATGTGGTTCGCGAGGGCATATTCTGTGGCCCGTGCTTAGCAAATAAGTTTTTCTTGAGCTACATCTATGGAGTGTCATCCCCGCTAAAGTTTTTTTGATCTATTATTAGGCATACTTTCTGATTATTAGGCACACTTTTTCATTTTTATAAGCAGACATTTCTATTACGAAGCTGAACAGAACAAGCAAGCTACAAGCTAAACATACAGAGAAACATTTAAAAGAAACACGACTTTCTTCGCGCGTCAACTACAAATTTTATGTGAGAATTAACTTCTGCAAACAAGAAATGTAACATTTCACACTGATAACTTTTTCATGTAATTTTTCTTGTAACTGCTATTTTTAACCCATTTACTGTTCAAAAAAGAATTTGTCGGTGATTCAAGGGCTCCGACACAGGTTGGAAAGTAGAGGTGGGCAACGGAAAATGTAACAGCCATAACAAAAGTTTTGGAAAAGCTCTCTTCGTCGGAGACCCTGTGATTTACACAATTATTAATTTGGCCGGCCTGTGCAGTAAGATTTTGCATATGGCCCACCCAAAACAACAAAACATTAGTCACAGAAGGGAATTGTTCTTCATGTCCTGTGAACAGGGCGATTGGGGGCTGGGGAAACATTGCAGAAAGATTTCACTGAAACTAGACCATGAAACATGGGATGATGAAATGGGATGTTGGACAATCTATTCGAAAGAAAATGAATTCGATCATTTCACCACTTCTTGTAGTTAGATTCAAAAGAGTTTTCTGAATTACTAACCTTTTTTACCTTTCGTCCTTCAACGCACTGAGAAGTCTAAAAACGCACTACTTTTGAACAACGAAGGACAAACAGTGTAGCTGTAATTAGAGTTTACCAGGTACAAGAGCATGTTTCAAGAAAAATTTTCAGCCCAACCGTTATATCCGAACTCGGCCGCTTAGTCACCGCCAGAATATCAATTGAAATTTTGAATCGCCCCATTGTCCCTCGAGCGCAGAAAATTTTGATTTTTTAACTGAAAAAATAAAATATTGGGTTTAAACAAGATTTTAGCAGTATAAACTGTTTCATTGAACCTTCTTGGGGGGGGCTTTGGGGTTTCAGGGGGTCATGGATTAGGCTCCGGGATTCACCGGGATTCGGGATCTTTCTGGCAAGCACGCAGGCTATCGGGTTTCGAATATTTGATTTTCTAAATTTTAACCTTGGATGTCGTTTTTTTCAATTTTTTGTCCCGATTTTCCGGTGTTTGTTCTCTCATATGCCCCCCTCCCCCGTGTTATCGATATATTTCGAAGTTCTTCGTTTTGACGTTTGCTGGAATTGAGGCTGGGCAACATTTCCAAAACGAGACTTTTGGTACGGTCCTTGGTGTTGTGAGGATAAGCATGGTTGCTGTTTCCTGCGAATTCTGCAAAGTGATCGAAGTGACTGTATGCAACCTCATGAATGTTTCTTATGTTTGAGACCACCTAACCAATTATCTCTTTTTAATATAAGCCATTTTTAGAAAGAGCAGAGATTTTAAGAACTTGAATGGACTCCAAAAAGAATGGAGGATGTAAAGATATTCGTAAGGTCCATATTGGTTTCAAAGCAGCATGGTGTGAAACAGTCATTGATTGAAAAGGACTATCACGATCTTGTTGGTGAAAAGCTGCCATGGAAGGAGTTGGGATTCAAAACTTTGTTCGACCTTTTAACTTCAATTCCTGATGTAGCAAAGCTTGAGTGGAGGGAAGACGATGGAGATAATCGTGTATTCGCTGTGTTGGATGGTGAAAGTTATGCATCACTTCATGCTAAGAGAATGTCTGTTAAAGGATATGGCAAAGGCTCTAGAGCTCTGAATCCAGATGAAATAAGAATGTGGAAAATTAAAAGAGGCCAGGAAAGAAGCTTTTCAGATTCAAGCGCTTCAAATAAATCAATAAAAAAGAATAACAATAAAAAGAAAAACAATATAAAACAGTCAAGCAATCAAACTATAAATGGTTGTTTTCAATCTTTTCAGACAACAATTAAGGCGAAGGAAGATCCAGCCTCGAGGCCAAAGGATGTCGACAACGCTAAGTATGGTGACCTTCAGCCTAACATGAAGGGTCTCTATACACTTTGTGTCAAGTTAAAGTATCAAACAGGATTCAACGAGTTGAGTTTGGTAAGATCTAATTGAAAACCATTCTGCAGTGTATAACAGCTGTCAAAATGATCTTGCGACTTCTCGATCATTTCAGTTGTTGTCTCAACATACCAACCCCTTTTCACCAAAACTATGATTTGCAAGCACGATTTTTCCATAATACTACAATAATGATTCCTGTGAAATCATCAAATCATGGCCTACATTTGTTCCTTATCTAGTTGATATGTTTTTATGTTTTCCCCAAAAGAAACACGTGTTGGTATGTACACAGTTGACATGACAATGTTGCAGTCTTGATTGTCTACAACATAACTTAAATTGTCATGTTTTGAAATGTTAGACATGGTTGAGCAATGGGTCCCATTGGAAATTTGTGATTCTACCATGGTTAACCATGGTCATTTCACTGCTCAACCATGGCAGGCAATGATTGACAACCATAGTGAAACCATGGTGTCACCATCGTCAGCCATGGTTGAGCAATGGTTTTTTGCAGGGTTGCATGGAAATAATCTTTCATAGGTCATTTAAACTAAATCTCAATGTTGTCAATTTACCAAAATTTTTGTAAGATGGAATGCGAGCCTGGTTGTCAACAATCATTTGTAATTAGATAATGATCATATCAAGATCATTAGTAGGTTTAAAAACCTTGATGTTGAGTCCAGGTTGACAATTAGCTTGAATATGATAGCCATATTGGCAAGGTAATGAGAAAGACACTCCCTGCTTTTAGGCTGAGAAAAAAATTAAAGAAGAAATCTTTATTCAGAATTGCTTGCACAATCTACAGAAGACTGGGTGAACTTTATTTGAGTCATTATTGCTCGGTGATTTCAATAAGCAAGAATAATTATGAAGAGTGCATATTATGCTACAGCAGCCCCACTTATCCTGAGTCTAGACTGGCCAATGATTTCTAATCTTATTAGACAAGAAACAGGAACACTAGTGTATAAATGTTTGAATGACCTTGCACTCAAATACCTGTAAAATCTATTCACAGGTTGTACAGAAAATGACAGAGGTTATGTACTATGTTCTACTGATACTGGTCTAAATTTGCCAATGTTTTAAACACATCAGTTTAAAAAGCAGTACTTGTACTGAAACTTTTGTGCATGTATAAATATCATGTCATTAACTGTAAGTGTTTTTTCAGGCTGTTCTTGTCCATTCAAGTTTGTTGCAACCCATTTCTCTTTAGATCCTGCCGTTTCCTGGTTCTTGTCCTTTTTAATATCTCAGTGTATCTGCAGCATGTTTACTTTCTGTTTATTTCAGGAGCATGTTAAGGTATTCCTGAGCACTCACTTTACAGAGCCAGATTGTTTTCCTGTTGAACTGAAAGCAATAAGGTAAGACATTTCTAACAGAATCGGAATAATGTGGATAATGATTGGAGAACTAGTCAATTAAGGCAATTCAGGAATTTTATTTAAATATTTCTGAATAAGGGAAAAGTCAGGAAAAGTGTTTGATGCCATCAGTTCGCTTTACTACACAACTTTCAATGCCAGTCTTTGCAGAGAGTGTAATTCCCTGTTGGTTACTGCTGGAATGATTCATATGATATAACAACACACAAATAAGTGAGTTTGCCATTTTACTTTCACTGACTGTTGAAGTTTGTTTTAGTTAACATGTTTGTCACATTGTTTAGTTGGTAGGAGAAACTTTTTTTAGTCAATAATGTTGGGGAAGGCAGGGGTGCCAACTGCAAAACCCTAACACGGGAAAAGTGGCAGGCATTGGTAAAATAGGTGTGTACAACCAATGTTGTTGATTTTAGTTTTGAATAAAGACAGGTTATAAAGCTTGCATGATCTGGGGAGGTATGATGAATTGTGACAGTGTTTATGTATAAGCAAAAAGACTTGGAAAGTCATTTTTTATATAGTACAGTCAAGGAAAAGTTATCCAATTTTATCAGGTATTCTGTAAAAACCTTTTTCATGGATGCCAGAGAGGGGTGAAAGTGTCCTACTCATAACAGCACTCTTGACATTTTCAGGGAAATTTGTATAGCCATGTGTTATGCCTTTGTTACTGAACCTCCTGTTGTTTTGATGACAACTTCTAAAATCAAATAAACAAATTCCATTTTTATGAACTTCAGCATGCAGCGGTAGAAAAAGTCAGTTTTAAATAAGCTATAATCAATTTTAAGTGCCTTTGTCCTCAAGCCTAAATCTCTTGGTCCAGTAGTAATTCTTTCATCCCTGTGTGTGCCTAGCCAAGCAGTATATTATTGATTTTCCCAGTGTCACCAAAAGTGATCAAGGAAACCCTTTTCAACATCATGTCACGTATTTGTATAAATCACACCGATAATTCCTTGACTCAAATAGGCCATATTTTCTGTCACTGAAGATGTTCTACAAGTTTATGTAGTTACAAAATGAACAGATGAAAAAAATACTAATGTAACATCTGTGACAACAAGTGCAAAATTAAATTGTTTTTTTCAGACCAAACATGGCGTTTGTTAGATATAAAACAAAGCGTGAGGCCATTGCAATGATAGAAAAGAAGCATGACTTTGAATGTGGGGCAGTTTCTTTTGATGTGACAGCTGCAAAAGAAAAAGGAGGTCAAACAAATACTAATAATTTGTCCAAGAGTTCCCAGAAGGCATCAAAGAATTCTCAATCAGATCTAGAGAATGATTCCACTTCAAAAGCTCCAGGGCTGTTGCCACTACCTGTAATACCTAAAGAGATTCCTCTGGTTTCTTTTGTGAAGCCTGGTCTTTTGCCAACACCAGATATAGGACTTTCACTGTACAGCTGTGAATTGCAAAAGACAGAAAACCTGCAACCGGTATTACTGATACCTCAACAGGGCATTTCAGACCAAGAGAAGAAACTGCAAAAATCAAGTATAGATGTAAGTGATTTAAGTTAACTGGAAAATATTGGTTGTGCAGCTTCCTGCTACTTTGAGATGTATCCTTGTACTTTAAATGACTTCTAATATATTTATGTTCTATGTTCTTTATTTTTGAAGAACTCATGTATGAGCTTTATCAATTGATAATTTCTTTTCACCTTTTTTGTAAGTTATTGTCATGTAGATTTCCAGTCTATGGCATGTCTTTCTAATAACAATGGTTCAGAGTTTTTCGATACAATAATTGCTCGCAAAAATGTTTCAAAATGGCATGATGTGCAATTGATTGCTAGAGATTATAAAAAGAAAAGATTGATATGTGATTTAATAGGCTTAGTTCTCATTCAGGCCCAGTCCCAAAATTGTAGACATGATTTTTTTACTGCATAACTGTTTGCATGCAAAAGGCTTAAGGGAAAATAAAATGTACAATTGAAAGACTTTGGCATTACTTGTATCCAATCATCAGGATAGTCACTTAACAGGCAAATTTGTTTTTAGCTTTATTGGAGCAAGAGCATTGTTTATTTAATTTTATTTTTTGAGTCAATATTTGATAAATTGCAGCTGAATATTTAAAATAGAAACCATTTCAAGAATGAAACAATTAGGAAATTTGCATTTTCAATTTTGCTACTTTCTTTATCAAAGGGGATGAATTTTGATATCAAGCCATGTCAAGGTGAAGGTTTCAACCTGGAGTTTTCAATTTTTGCTTCCCTGTATTTCTCTTCATGCACAAAAAAGCCAAAAGTTTCCAAAGATTTCAGTGATGATCTTCACTTTATTGTAACACATGCTGTTGATGCAGGCAGATTTTGGATCCATTTAATTGAGCAGGCAAGCCAATATCTTTTTATCTTTATAGTTTGTAACGATTGTTGTTTTATGATTCTCATTCAGTCTTAAATTTTACCTAGAAACCAGTGGTAGGCACTACAAGGAAGTAGTCTAGTTGGACTAAGCCTGCATAAATGATAAGAAGAAGATGAAAGGGTCTTTTGTTTGATAATTAAAGCTGTAACACAAAAAAGGCATTTCCTGATCAAATGATATTTTGATTTTAGCAGGGTCAGTCTCAGTGACAGTGCAAAAGGCGTGTGAATAAGGCTTATCTGTGAAATCTAGGATTGGAAAGTTGTTCTTGTGCCTGTACCTTAAGGGGGCGTTCATGTCAGATATGGCTAATTTCGTACATAAAACTGCCAGTGCAGTTTTTGTAGTTTATTTGATTAATTTTTAACTGAATATCGTAAAATTTTGTGTATAAATAATGTATTGAATTTGAAGATATGTAATAGCTTCTGCTTTACGATTTTAGGAGCAAGCCATTAATGATCTGATGAGTCAGCTACAGAATGAAATACATAAGTCTGAAAGAGCAGGGAAACCCATGATTTTTCCTCAGCAGCATCATGTAGGTGCAGCAAGATACACTTTTGATGATTTTTGGTATAGGTATGTATTTAGTAATCCGAGTTTATACAACATTTTTGATATTGTATAAATTTATTAGTTTTGTTATTAACGATGCCGATATGACAGGTGTTGTTTCCAGAGGTACTGAAACATCTGGCCATCCTCATTTACTGCATGATCAATTATTGAATTTAAGAAACCTTAGGGTGTCGATAATTTTCCAACCCACATATGACCAGTCTAGACATCAAACGTTTCCCCTTGAAAGCAGTTGCAAATCAGCCTGAAATTTTTGTTGTTGGAAGTTTGAGTTTTTTAAACAATATTATTTCAGATGCTGGGTTCTTGATTGCAACAAAGAACGAGATGAAATCCACGTGTTTTATTGTGATTATGGAAACGATGAAATTGTGAATGGGAAACGTTTCCAATATATAAACGAATCATTGTGGTCTTTGCAGCCTCAAGCTGTTCCTGTAAAACTGCCTGGTATGTGCAATGATCTTGATACCTTATTAGAACAAAAATGCCACGCTCTTCTTTAGTTTATGTCTCGAGCATTCCTTCAGTATATGCAAAATGCACTTCATCGGTTTCAATCCTTAATCGGTTTTCTCAAGGAAACATAAATGACAAAGGCTCCATGACAGACAAAGTTGTGTTGAATTTAAACTAAGCTAAATTTAAGCTTTGTTTATTTTTAACTGTTTGGCTATGATCGTGGTAGTATATCTGCTTAGAACTGCAATTCAACTAGATCAAAATCTCTTCTGTTAGCCATTAAGTCATATTACTATTCTTATACAAACACAGCGATAAATCTTTATGTCGAGTTTATACTGCTTATGAAGACGAATGTGTTTTCTCATAGCTTTGGAACCTACATCTGAATCAAACCTAACAGAAAAAGATCTTGGCCGTCAAAAGTTTGTGGAGATTTGTCACGGTAAACTGCTAGCTGCAAATGTAGTGAAGAATGCAAATTTTTCAGAGGTAGGTAGATGTAGCTTTTACACTACCTAAATCTAAAGATTGCATTCAACTAGCCTGGTATTGAATAAGTATAGCATATGTTCCTTGTCTTGACACTTCAAAAGTAATATCGGTTATGTTTAGTGTCAGTTTTTAGCGGGAAGAACTGGTTATCCAGGATGCAATTATTGCACCAAGACAAAATATGTTATTATGAAGCAAATTAAACAGCTGCGTGTCTATTTGCCATCGTAAAATTGACACTAAAAGCAACCTTTAGTTAACTAAATTATTTTCGCTGAATTTTCTTCAATATGATTTATTTAAAGTCTAATGTGAATCTCTTTCTTTTGCAGTCGCAAGTGATTGCCCTGTCGAATATTGTGGTTCCAGACCTCCCTGGTGTGTTTTTGGAGGATTTTCTTGTCAACACTGGACACTTAAAGCGAGTTACAGCAACGTTAACCCAGCGGACGTCTGTGGAGAACAGCGTTGAAAAGCAGACTGTTGATTATAGAACAATGATTGATGAAGAAGAGAAACCACGTCTTTCAGAAAATGTAGCTACTGAGAAGCCATCCTTGAAAAGGATGAAGGAAGGTGATGAAAGGCCACCCTTCGTACCGAATAGGCCATCACCAAAGGATTTGCGAAGCATCAATACGCAGTCTGGGAAAATCCTTGATCAGAAAGCAGCATTATCATTTAAGAAAGGGACAATTGCAGAACAACAAGAAATCTGGCCTACCCAGGAAGAGGAAGATTGGGATTCGCAATATTCTAACCAATCTAAAAATGGGCTTGAGTCTAGTTCGCTCAGAACAAATACTGTTCAGGTACATAATGATGAAAGAGGCAAGATTACTTGTCCGGTAGATAATGAAGTTTCAAAGCGAAATGGCGACGGAATAATCCATGAGACGCTCAACTTCAACGGGCAGAATACACAGTCGCATACAAGGTTGGCAAATGCTGCATCGTTGAATAATACCAAAAAGTATGGGAGTGTTGTTGATGGGTGCGCCACCGGAGCGGACACCAAAGGATATGATACAAATAAGGCTATGGTTCTGACGGAGACAGAGATAGAAAATCTCAAAAAATGTCCTAGCATCTACGTATTAAAGCCAGAGAACACTATCAAAGCTAAAATACTTGAGGTAAATTCCACGTGTAATCAAATAATGTTTGAATTGCAGAAACTTAAAGTCCCAAAATTAAAAGCAACATGGCCCGAAACAGGATTTGAAATTTAAGAATTAATAGCCAGACTCTAATTTCAATGACATCTTGATTTTTCACCTTTATGAGCTTTTTCAGCAAAAAAGAGCAATGTGACCATCTCGCAAAAGCTCGATGAACACTAATCAAGTTTGTATTATGCTAGTATTCTTCGTTTCCTTAAATACAGTCAGCGAATTTATCAAAATAATTTTTCGACGAATTTGATGAAAATATTAGCAATTTGATTTAAGAATTGTTCAAGGTTGAAAATATAGAATTTCTAAAAAATATTGACGTTAGGCAAAAATTGAGATATTTTTGTTAAGTACTTATGAATTAACCTTGCATTTTTCAGACTCCATCATACTTTAAAGCTTTACACACATTTGAAAATATAAATTCTTCTTCTTTTTTCCCCGTTTTAGGTAGAATCGCCAGCTTTATTTTACATAGAAAAACCCGGCTCAGGAGAAATCATGATGAAATTGAAGACCCTTCTGTCATGCTTCGAACCCCAGGTGCGAACCATTGTCAAAGTCTTGTCGAAATTTCTTTCAACTTCGAAAGAATGTAATCTTTAAGAAAAGGTGATGCCCTTTGTTTCACACATGACTGGGACACCTGGGATAGCATAGATGTTCACATCACGTCACAAAAGTTTCAGCTTTGAGCACTCATCTGTTCCAAATAATGTACGGAGCAATGTGTTTATGTATCGGTTCCTCGGTAAGCCAGTACATGAATGTTGCTTTGAAAGACATCAACCTCGCGGCATTATTTTTGGAAACAGAAGATCTATCCCTCCCTGTACTTTTGCGAATAGCTCTATTTTAGCCTGCACGATATTTTAAAGTAAACCTGTAAATATATTGATGAGTCGGTCCTGCGTATGGTATATAATATAATTGTTTATTCCTAGGAACGAGTAGAGCCATATAAAGGTAGAATACTCTGTTATAAAGATGGAACGAGTAAAACACGCGTCAATGTTCTTGATTTGGCTTGTAACTTTGCTTTCAGTAAGAAGGTAAGTTTTTAACTTGTTCGCTTATGTTTCTTCTTGTTTCTCCAATGCTGTATCACCTATGTTCTGCTTCTTAATGCTACACTTTCCCATTCTTTTTTCTGGTATCTCCAGATGGCCTCTCAAATCTTTTTGTATGGGTTGATTTTTTACTCAATGATCATTTCCTGTTTTTGGACCTTGACATTTTCTGTAGTTGGGTCACAAACCAGTATCAATGGTTGGAAGGAGTATACTCTTGACTTCCTACTCCTTGGTAACGTTGGGTGGCATTTTCTTGTAAGGCTCCTCCAAGCTAATCAATGTCCCATTCTGGATTAGAGACGAATATATCTGAGTCATTTATCCTTGGATTTCAATGACAACCCTCCTTTCCAATAATCCCCGGTCAAAACATTGAAAATTAATCGACCCCAAGGCGCAAATTCTAGGATCTACCGTATGTTTGCGCAATTGTTTCTCGCACTCGAACCATCACTATAAAACCGTACTTTTTTCAGATTCTGATTGACCGTAGTGTCTACTATTGAGCAAAACATTCGTTTTTAGTTTACGTAGACAAATAACCACAGTTGTGATACATTGGATTAAATTTGTTTTAGGTCTTAGTCATAGACATCGACAGTGGCGAGAAGATCTGGGCCAATGCAGATGATCTTTACCTGATGAGTCCTGAGCTGATGCAAGTTGAGCAGATAGCTGTCGACGTTGGAATGGCTGGTATCAAGACGAAAAATCAAATCACAAGCTTGACAAAGGATTTGGAAAAGTTAACAAACAAGGTAAAAGACTGATATGTTCGTTTTCAAAAGCGGATTCATAATCAGTAAATCAGGGAGTCTGAAGCAAGTTTGAAAGTAAGAAGGGTTAAGTTCAAATAAAAACTCAAAGAGGATGAAAACAAGTCGAGCACAACTAAGCTCAGTGCCACGAGATTTACCAACGTCGCGTTCAGAAAAATTTCTTTATTTAACGAGAACGTTAAATAAAATGCAATCTATATCAGCTTTTGTCAACGTATTTATTTAACGGTTCTCTGCCCTCTCTAGAAATTTGTGTTTAATTACTTGGTAGGAACTTGATGAAAATGTTCACATCGTTTTATAAGACACCGTTCTGAACTATTTTTTCTTATGTCTGTATAGGTTTTGATAATTCCCACATTGAAAGTTCATGTAAAAGACCCATTATCGCTTTAACGATGAAGTTAAAACTTAGATTGCTATTCCCTTGTATTTATAGTTTGATTTTTTCCCTTATCAAGGAACATTTCTTGTCATTCATCTTTTGAACATCTTCAACAAAAAATTTTCAAAAAATGCATACTGGATAACCAGTTCTTCTCGCTAATATGTGACACTAAACATAACCGATATTACAATTGAAGTGTCAAAACAAGGAATATATGCTATATTTATTCAATACCAGACTAGTTGAGTGCAATCTCTAGATTTAGCTAGTGTGAAAGCTACATCTACCTACCTCTAAAAAATTTGCATTTTCTGTTATTGAAATGTAGTGTACCATAATTAAAGTATGAAATGTAGCTTTTTACTGAAGAGGAATTTGATGCAATAATGAAACGTTCGCACCTATTTGCTGGTAGGCAAAACTTTGATTCTTGCATACTGATAATTTTTTTAAACCTAATTGTAGTTGAATCCTCAAAAGGGGGGGGGTGGGATAAAGTGGTCCAACGAAGCGAAGTTGCCGTGGTAGATTGTGACTTGAATACGGTAGGAAAATCCGCTTGGAATTGAAAGTCAGACTTTTCCGGGTTATCCTGGGTAGGACTTAACGAGATCTAACTGTGTTTTGTCCTGAAAGAATGAAAACACCATCACTAATTCTGATTGCTTTTAAATACAAAAGGGAACCGATGATAATGAGACGCTTTCAGTGGACGCTTCATGCATGCATTTTTGCTTTGCAGATTAGCTTCATTCATATCGTTGAGAGAGATGCATCCGGGAAATGTCTTCTAGAGGTTTACGGAGACGATAAAACAAAGAGCCTAAATTTGCAGGCCGTCCATAGTGGGAAGGCAATTGTTACTGCGAAGCCAGGAAAAAGGCGAACGGGTGAGCATTCTAAACTCCTCATATATCCGCCATCTTCTATGTCCACCATCAATTGTTTCTAGGACATTTCAATCTTTTTTCTACACAAGAATCTATAATAGATAGTAACTTAATCATAATAGGTGACAGTAAAGACTTGATTTTTTGATAACGTGGTTTCTTGTTGGAAAATCTAGAGAGAAAATCCCCGCACATGTTTTTGTTTTATGGATAGAGCCCCAGTATGCACCATTCTTTGCTAGGTTGCTAATTCACTCAGACTTTAGCTTGATATTAAACACTCTTCCTTGAATTTTTAACCTCGAATAACAACATCGCTTTTCGGATAGTTGTTATGTGATTCTCTTAATTAGAAAAAGAAACTCTTTTACCTTTTATTCCTTTTGTTATTTTTGGGCAAGAAGGGTCAGAAGAATTTTCGGATGTTTGACTTTTCAAAAAGGTTTCCCGATGATGGAATAAAGCTCTTCTTTCTAAGAGCCAGAAAATTTTTTTGCCAAGGCTCTATGATGACAAGAGCCATAATGAACGATTTCTTTTTTCAATGTAGTTGTCATTTGCAATCTCTCGAAAGTTCATGCGATCCTCTCTATTTCTAACAGGGGATTACAAACCAAGTGGCAAATTCGCTGGAAAGTATCCCTCTGTCTCTGACAGTGCTAGTGACAGTGGAAGCAGAAAAATGATGAATAAACCTCCTGTTATGAAAAATGAGCCCATTGCGCGCCCGTTTTCTGATTCCTCTTCTCAAGATGGCAGCTCGAGATCGTCAAATCGTAGAATAAGTTGTAGCTCAGATTCGTCATGTAATAGCGATATTTCCTCATCGGCATCCTTAGGGAATGGGGGGAGCATGTCAAACAATCGTAGTTCAAACAGCGATAACAATGATCGTTCAGACGACTCAAGTGTTTTCTGCGACGTTAAGGATACTGACTTGGTTTATAATCAAACAGATTACCATATCGTACCAGTAAGAAACCATACGGAAAAGGAGAAGCCCATTCGAAAATTTTTTAGACCACATACGCCGCCTCTCTCGGCTTCCCAGCAGGATGAGAAATCGACTCTCGTTGTTGCTGCTAGACGCAAAGAACTGATTCACTCCATTAAATCATTGACTGAAGGCTGCCTTGAGAGAGAATTCATCCGCTTCCGACCTGACGGCAGTTTAGACCGGGACCTTATTGAACGTGAAATGAAGCGATGGTATTCAGAAAAACATTGCTTAGAAAAGTATGCAAATACTCTTACCGAAACTTTATCAACTCCGCAAGACAAATCTGAAGTGTATATCAACAAAAACAGACGGTTGCGATTGCAGATATATTTACAGTAAGTCTTACAGTAAGCCTCGAACAATTAAGTGACCAGAACTGAGCTTTCTTTTCAATGATGAAGAATTTTTTTAAAATTTAAAATGAGTATGTATCTCTCTCTCTTTTTTTACTCTCCCTACCCATCTGTCTTCCTATTTTCCTTTGCTTCAATTCTCTTCTGATCTGAAATTCTACATGTTCATTTCTGTTAGCGATGATTTCTTTATTCCCTTATTGTTTAGCTTTAAATTTGTTTGTTTATCATTTTACTCTTTTAGTGAAATGTACCATAATACGAAACAAAAACGAAAGAAAGCGTTGGAGTTTTCGCTAGAATTTCATGACATGGATACGGTTAATCACAAAATTAACTCTATCTTGATACATTAACTGTGATTTCATCCTTTATTACACTTCTTTGAATGTGGTCCCCCTCCCTTACGACATATGTGAGATGCTGATGTCATGTTGCACACCTTATACATTATTTGAATTTACACATTACCATTTCATGCTTCTTTGAAATGTACCAATTCTTTCTTTATTTCAGGCTAATGTCAGCAAAGGAAGAAATAGTCAAAGTCACAAATGAAGTCGAAAAACTTGAAAAAGAGCGTTCACGTTATAGTAAGTAGGCCGCCTGGACAGTACATTGTAGCACAGTACATTGCAGCAATAACCAGATATCACAGGCTGATGAATTAATGTTCAAACATATATTAGTAGAGGTGGAACGTCAAGGCCATAGAACTAGCGAAAATGCTGCTTAAATCCGATCTCGCTGGCATCATTCTCTGAGCCATCATGTTTTGGCATGCCTTTAAAAACTGACAAATTTAGTTCCGATGCTTTTTTAATCGTCTATATGCTAATTGCTTTTACGGCTGCTATCGTGAGAATGTTAACTTGGTAAAACTTGAATTTGAGCTTTTGCTAGCTTTTTTAGGATTCTAAAAGTATTTCATTTGGGATTTCCTCAAGACCGTTCGCCACCTTTATAAATGCATAAATGCATTGGTAATGATATTTTTAAATTTAATTCTACGTCTTCGTTGATTTCATATTATATTGTAAATTATGATAAAAGTTTAGAATTGCTTGTAGTTTCGAGTTTTGCTTTTAGGAATTGCATGTTCATAATTTTATATTGGTTTTCTTAGATGGTTCAAATTATACTTTGCCAATAACTATTCAAGAATGGTGCTTTTAGCAGCAAATCTATAAAATTTTCAGTTGTGTTTTTAAGCGTAGCCGTTTACGTTTTACAATAAACTAAAATAGATTTTACAGTTGACTTTAGATAAGGCTCGTTGCATTTTCTTAGAAATTATGTCCCTTGGATTTTGCCCCCCCCCCCTCCCCTAGCCTTTTCAGTAAACACGTTCAAATTGCAAGTTCAGAAGAACAGCTCACAGTCCCTAGTCGCTTGGATTTCTACGGTTAGCAAATAGGCACTATTGCACCCACAGATAATAGCCCACGATTCCTGTTACTCTACCAATATACATTTGAAGGACCCTCCCTAAAATAAAACATATTTTTGATTCCTTTACAAGATAGATAAGGAGACCCATCTGTTTCTACTTGTTACTGGTAAAAACGCGCAATCAATATACATTTGACGGGAGCCTTACCTCCATCCCCCCCCCCTCACCAAGCTATGCAAATAATCCAACCTAGTCTGGTTGGTTTTTTCTCGTCAGTTGAAACGATAAAATATTTTGTTCGAATTTTGGCTTCTTTTGACACCTTTAAAACTACAGCGTTAAGATACTCATAAGTTAAATAAACGAGCTAGCAATGAGGTGCTGTTTTTATGAAACTGTTTGAATAAGCCTCTGTGAATATGGGCCTAAAGTGTGACGTAACATGATATGTTGCAGTGTCCAATACAGGCTTATTGTTAGAATCGAGAAATGCAGGAACAACGTAGCTTTATATTTATTGTTAACGACTTTAATGCAATTGCAGGTAGCATTTGGTTGTAGGGGCTTGCTAGAAAAGGATTTTGCAATGGGATACAGGACAGTCAAATATTTGTAAATGATGCAGTTCTTTTTTTCTATTACCAGTTTGATCATTCTCAAGACCCCAAATAGATAACGTGCTGGAAATTGCAAAGAGAAATTTAATGGTCTGCCTTACGTTATCCATGATTCAAATCGTTTTATTATATCTCTGGACGTAACAGGGATCTAACTAAAAGGAACGTTGTAAAATCTGGAAATTGGATACACTCATTTATTTACAAACTTTCATAAAAACTAAAACTAAATAGGCAACAAAGATCCGTCTGTGTTAAGCCTTGATCGACCCGGAGAAATGAGCTGGGAGTTGCAAGGCCTCCGACGAAGGGGGAGGGGGCGGAGGGGTCATGGCTCCCTCACTTTTTTGCAAAACAATAGAGCTTTTTTTAAAACCTTTTGTTTTGATTGCTATATTTTCTCTTGGCCCCTCCACTCTCCAACCTGCGTCAGAGCCCATGAGTCGTTAACCTGTAGTGACCCTGCCTAGGCCTTTTTTCTATCCTACGCCATACACTCGTTTCTGCCTATTCATCACATTCCACTTAACACGTAAGGCATTTCCCAACAGGCAATTACGGCATCATCATCATTAATCACCATGACGATCATCAGCATCAAAACACTGCTGTTCCCACATGACATTTCCTCTCCTTTGATCATCTGTCGTCACCTTGCCTCTCCCAACCTATGCATTGTTTTCTTAGCGTCATTCAATTATATTTACAACAATCAGTTTAGTATATATGTATGTAGATAGATTCATTTAATTGAGTTACGATCAGGGTTGGTATATTGGCTTTTTTTAAGCCAAATTCCAGAAATTTGGCTTTTTTCGAACTTGTTTGGCTTCAAAAATTCCTTTTGGCTTAAAGTCTTTTTTTGGCTTAATTTTGGCTTTTTCCCAAAGTACGGGCATAAGTACTTATTTCCTACCTTCCTTCTTTTTTCATCATTCTAACAGAAATTGACAATTCAAGCAGTTAATGCATATATTTTACTGTGATTTTGACACTTTGTTGAACATCTGCGATTTCATCCACCTTGCCCGATCGTTACGTGGTTTTTGCTTTGTTCTTCATTCTTTCTGTCTGTTGAAGCAGGGTTTAATGACCGCGATGTGAAAGGGGGGGGGGACTTGGAGGAGGTTGTATCGTATGGACTGACCTTGTACTTCATCTAAATCCGATGATAAAATATTGAGGGAAGGGTAAATTTTCTGATAGCAAAAACGGCCAAGCCTAAAATTTTCTGTTTGCTCCCCTATCGCTTTGTTTTAATTTTACTAAAAATGCGCTCCCACATACATGTATACACATACATACAAAATACATGTATATCATGCGCTAGAATTCTACGAATACAATAAATTGTTCTGTCAGTCAGTTGAAGAGTACCTAAGAGTGGAAAATTTTAGCCGTGGGTAGAGAAATATGTAAGGGTTAAAGGGGATCAAGCACCCTATGGATTGAACAAAAAAGTTACTTCTAGCCTCGTTTACAACTTGAAATTTTCTATTGTTTTGCTGCCTCGTTTACATTTTGGCTTAATTTGGCTTTTTTCAAACATTGATTTGGCTTGAAGCCCCAAAAGAATCTACCAACCCTGGTTACGATAACCCCAGTTAAAGTCAACACGCGTCTTACTGAAGCTCCTCTGACTCCGTGTTCTCTGCACGTTAAATAAGACTACATCGAAGTTCTACTCATCAACGGAGGGTCGTCACAGAAACACAACTATGATAGGTAACGCCGCTCAACAAAAACTCGCGTTCCTATAATGGTGACCACGACGTGACACGAAAGATCCTTCGTTGATTCGACTTCACCGCAACCGAGCTATACAAGGCAACGTAACACTCGGACACAAGTGTCTCCATTCGCCCGCACAACGGAACCTCGGCAGCATCACGGCACTCTCCGGTGTTCAGCAGCGTCTTCGGCTCTTTACAGGTTCTTGGTTACCCTACTCACAAAACCTTGGCACATTACATCGCTGGTTCCTGGTCAACCTACGAAAACCTCGCATCGCATCATGGTTCCTGGTCAACCTACGAAAACCTTGTAATACAACACGGACATCGCCCCAAATTTCATCGCTGCTTGCAAGGACACCACACGGATACAAGTCAGTGCAGTACCGGACAATCGAACATTCTAAGTAGTATTTAATATAATTTTTATCGTTCATTTTCTTTAACTAATCATATCGCTAATTTTTAATTTTTTTTATCGAATGCTTCGCTACCGCTTGCCTTCTAGGAGGGGAGCTATGTAGTGACCCTGCCTAGGCCTTTTTTCTATCCTACGCCATACACTCGTTTCTGCCTATTCATCACATTCCACTTAACACGTAAGGCATTTCCCAACAGGCAATTACGGCATCATCATCATTAATCACCATGACGATCATCAGCATCAAAACACTGCTGTTCCCACATGACATTTCCTCTCCTTTGATCATCTGTCGTCACCTTGCCTCTCCCAACCTATGCATTGTTTTCTTAGCGTCATTCAATTATATTTACAACAATCAGTTTAGTATATATGTATGTAGATAGATTCATTTAATTGAGTTACGATAACCCCAGTTAAAGTCAACACGCGTCTTACTGAAGCTCCTCTGACTCCGTGTTCTCTGCACGTTAAATAAGACTACATCGAAGTTCTACTCATCAACGGAGGGTCGTCACAGAAACACAACTATGATAGGTAACGCCGCTCAACAAAAACTCGCGTTCCTATAAACCGTCTTTTGCTAGAATTTCGTCTGGATGAAAGTGACGAATATTAAAGGTTCCTTGAAACTGTCTTGCGAAAATTTTGATAAGTTCTTACAACTCATTGAATTTGATATTTAAGAAACAACACAAGGCTGCGAGAGGCAATACCAGGAAGGATGAAATTCTCAGCAGGCTCGTTAATTCTGTTTGTCTTGCATCTCTAGCGCAATACAGGGGCGATCTTGTGTCCTAATGACAGCTTTCCTCTCTCCACAAATTTAAAAACTCTTCGGTTTTTTCTATTCTTTGACTCTGCAGCCATTCATACGAATCTCAGAAAGCAGCGTGATCAAAAAAAGAACCTGGTTGGTGGAGTGAAGCCTTTGAAGTGCAGCGCATGTCATTAAAGACAATTGGTTTAGAAAAAAGTTTGACCAAAGTTGAACAGGTTCAATTTTTTAAAAGGAAGTTGCACTTTGTCGAAACAGCTATTAAGACATCCAATTTTGCGTTTACACTGCCTATTTTTCGACGATTCGTTTAAAGAAATTCAATTAAATGCTTCAGACTTAGCAAAGCAGATGATTATAAAGGGGTCTGGGAAAGAGTTTTTGGCGGGATATTTTACATGTACGCGTGACAGCAAAAAACTTACGATAATAATTTTTATGCATGCATTCAAACTGTTCCAGAATATCTTTATTCTCTCAAAAAAGAGATTTACCAAGATATGGATTTCTCTGGTCCTCCAAAACCATCCAGGGCGGCGTTGCCTTCGTTAGTGAACCTTTCAGAGCGACTGGAAAGTGCAAACGTGGAAAGCTTGCCATCTTTGGCTGACGAAGTTGCACAAGGCCAAAAACACCAGCTTGCTGAGTTGCAAAGTCGGATGAACTATTTAGAGCAGATCAAGGTCACAATATCAAAATACTTCTTTTCTTAAAAGCCATATAAAGCATAGAACTAAGGGTAGGTTGTAGTCCCGATTTCTGTTGTCCTTCTGAGCACAGAACCTTTTTTAAAATACTAGGTTAGCTGCGAAGAGGCACGATGGCCCCTTCAGCCCCAGATACTTTTGATTGTATTTGACAATAGATATTGTTGTCTCTTTTTTTATGGTAAGAAAGGCTTGATCCATAGAAAAAGACGTGAAGTTCTGTATTAGCATGTTTAAACTTTATTAGACGTGAAGTTTGTCTCCAGTACCACTGACCTGGTAACCAATTCATCAAACATTTCTTTTACATGAACTTTGATTTTGGAAATGAAAGAACATTTTCGTTATTTCTAGGGAGAGTATATGAAAGGCAAGTATATTATAAAACTTTTTTGGCAAAAGGTTGAAATTACAGGATTTGTGAGAAAGTATCAATTTGACTCTACATTTTGAAATCAGCCGTCCTTTTAAGCAAGGCAATTCTCATTTCCTCAGGTTAAAATAATTTTTTTCTACTAGTTATCTTAGATTGAAGCATTGTTTTTGGGTTTGAATGATCTCTTCTTCTATCGAACGTAGACTACTATGGTGGCCCAGCATTCTCATTCAAAAAACAGAAACATATTTTATGAAATATAAAAAAATCACAGATATTTGTGATAAATTTGACATTAAATTCAAATTATTTTCTTGAAGTTTAAAATAACATGTCAAAAAGTAGAATAAACATAATAAAAAATTAAAGAAACATTTCCATTTCCAAGTTTCAAATAGAATTTTTTCTTTTTGTTTCTGAAAATCACGTTGAAAGTCGTCAAAAGAGACATTTTCGTTTTCATTTTCAAAATGAAATGTCATGATCGGCCCAGCGTTCTCATAGACCACAATGCTTTGCAAGAACGCATACCTCGTGGTAGCCTATTTAATTTGAATTAATCATGAAGAGGCATGATACTTGGGAAAAACTTTACAAGGTAATGAGTAACAAAAGAACAAAACAAAACGAGGCATCAAATAAAAATAAAAAACTCGGATCTGCCCCACACGAGATTGTCGTCCAGAAGCTTTCTTCAGAACCCGACAGCAAGCAAACCTATCGTCCGATTCAGCCACGCGAATTTGTATTATGTGAACTTGACGAAATAACTCTACCTAACTTGAAGAGTGCTTGTGCTGCTCATTTTGGCCTCCCTGTCAGTACGTGTGACGTGCTTGTCTCGAACAAAGGTCCCTCATGCACAAATATTCAACAGGTACCAGATCGGAAAGATAAGGATTTTTTTCTTCTTTTCTTAATAAATCTAATATCAATTAGTTTGAGGTTTGCGGTTCAAGCTTGTTCACTTTACTTGGATTGGGTTCACTGTCCGGGCTTTATGAATTAGGTAAGGGTGTTAATTTAGGTTTTAATTCAGGGGGCTTCAGCCCCCCATAATTTCTGCCAGGATGCATTCTATCTAAAGTCTACGCCAGACAATGCACCAGAAGACCTCTGCACCTAGATGCAGGAAGTGCCCTCAGGGTGGGGTAAGGTTCGGTTAGGTGCAGGCTGTGGGGTAGGATTAGGGCAAGGGTTAAGCTTGGGTAGTAAGGGTACTGGGTACCTATTCAGATCCAATAATAGTGAATCTAATTGCCTTCCCTCCCAAACTACTTAATTCCCAAACTCTACCCTAATTAGCCAAAGATAAAGAAACTTTGAGTAGTGAAAAATATCCTAATTTCTTATAAAAAAGAGTGTACACTCATATTTTTTACTTTTAACTGAAAAGTTCTTTAGAGCTTTGTAAAAAATGAGGATATGGTCCTCTATTTCGCCAGCCCTATGAATTCAATAACAAGTTAAACTCGCACCAATGACGTGAATGTTCCAACTTTACCCCTTCTTCTTTTTTTCCCAACTTTTTTCTCCGTTGAATTAGTCCTTCATTGTCACCAAGGGTCATTACATGGTAAACAAAAGTCCATTGGGAACATGAAGGCCATACTGCTCTCTGATTCTCTTGTGCATAGCACGGTAGCCTAATAACTGATCTGGACCATTTTTTTCTGCATTAAATGCCTCACCTACTTGATCTACAGTTGTATCGTAGTCGACGAATTTTATTGCAAAATGTTTCATGCGCCTACTTAATGTACCAGGGCTCCAAGCGTACTGAGAAAAATCCCTTTGCAGAAAGTCAAGAATTTCAGCTCTTCGCAAGTTTCTGGCAACCATACAACGAATAAATTTTTGGAGTTCGTTATCCTCTGTCTATTCGTTATTTCTTTTATATTCTGCAGCAATATGGAGCAAAATCTCCCTTTTTTGGCTACATAAGCCAAAGGTAATTTATTTAGAAAATCGAAAAGGGCGCGAAAAGCTGCATGGAAATGAGGCGCTTATTCTTGCAAAGCATTGTGGTCTATGAGAACGCTGGGCCGATCGTGACATTTCATTTTGAAAATGAAAACGAAAATCTTTCTTTTGACGACTTTCAATGTGATTTTCAAACAAAAAGAAAAAATCCTATTTGAAACTTGGAAATGGAAATGTTTCTTTGATTTTTTTATTATTTTATTCTGCTTTTTGACATGTTATTTTAAACTTCAAGAAAATAATTTGAATTTAATGTCAAATTTATCACAAATATCTGTGATTTTTTTATATTTCATAGAATATGTTTCTGTTTTTTGAATGAGAATGCTGGGCCACCATAGACTACCATGTTACCTAAAGGTTGATTAATACTCTCAAAGAAGGCTTGACTCGAAAAGTTCTTGTGAAATATATTCTAGAAATATCTATGAGCTTGCTTTACGTTTGCTTCAATTGTCAAACTGAAAAGACAATATGTTATGAATGCTATTTAGTGGTGCTATTAAAAGTAGCTGAATAGCAGCTCCGCTCTTTCTGCGGTAACAATTATATGCCAATGGTGGTGCCATATCAAAGCGGCCTAAAAGAAACCAGTTCTGCTAACCCTCAAGATGTTTTGTTAACTTGCAGTAAAAAGAGCGATTGCGCAGCTCTTCTTGCCAATATTATTTACCATAAACGTTTAAAATGTCCAAATACATTTTACCATCAACGTTTATAATTTACAAGTATATTTTTTAGGTTGAAATGACTTGATCATCTTTTTTTTAATTTATTTGAGACAAATAAAATTTGCAGGTAAATTTGCTTCATTATTGATCCGCGCATATGGAATATTTGTTTGTTTCTTCTAGCACAATCTAGAATTTCACTTGTAAAAAATGATATAAGAAAAGTCGAGAGAAAGATATTCTTAACAGAAGACGAGATTGATGATAAGGAAAAAACAGCTCATCAGTTGCAATGCGGTAAATTGTTACAAATCTTGAATTCATTATGTATACTTTCGCTAAACTGCAAAAAATTGCAGAAAATGAAGATATGGTTTTTATTTAAGTAGATTATATACAGTTTCTATTTTCTTCTTCTACAAAAATTCGTGTTTTGCGATGCTTATTTTTTTGCTTCTCCTCGTACGCTACGCCCCTGATAACAGATGACGTCTAATGAATACCAAGATATTCCCTGGGTTGCAAATTTCTGGACAAAAGATTTTATCATAAGCGTAAAGAATTTTATCTCTGCAAGGAGAACGAAATACTAATTTTCATTGTGCGACAATTTTTTAGCATTCCGTCAATTTTTTGTACGGTTGTTAATAAGTTTCTGGAGGAAAATAAAAGAGAAAAATTTATGAATTGGTAACTCTGTGAGATGCTTCTGTTATTGATGAAGAAATCGCGGACATTCTGCATTTTATGCAATTCTTTATAGCGGAGAAATCTGATGTGAAAAGAAAACTTCTGAATGTCATGCAAAGTTTTCAGCGAAGTATACAATATCTACCCTGCAAACGGAAAATCTTTTTCTTCAATTCTAGACACAGCTTCTGCGACAAATTCGTAATGGGTAGGGTGCATTCATTACCAATCCCCTGCCTCCCTCTCCAACCCTTGTTTTGTATCTGCCACCCTAGTTATTGTAAGTGTGCATTTTGACCCTATTTCAGATATTAATTCGTACAACAATGCAACAGAAAGCCTGAAACTTCAACGTATCAGACTTGAAAGCAAATTGAAAACAGATAGAAGGTATTGTCATTAGCATTGGGACCATTGGGCCTTGTTCAAATTTATTTTGCTTTGCGATGTTGCTGACATTCCGTTCTTTTCTCTGTTTCAATGTTTCCTTTATTTGCTTCCTCAAGAAATCTTTTTCCTGAACTATCTGTTATTATAGAAATGAAGCATCAAAAAGTCCTGATTTTCAATGCGAAAACCGTATGATCGTCTAGTCTGTCTCTCCAACCTTAACAAGAATGGCATAATCAAAAAGTTAAGATCTAAGATACACAATACAGACTCGAACCCTTTTCAGAAGACCATTGTTAGTTAGTAACAGTGGAAAATTTCATATGGAGATATTTATTATAGAAATTCATAAGTTCATGCACAATCAGGTGATTTTAAGTGACAACAATATGATTTTTGCGCACATTACATTCATTTTACAAATGCTATTTTATTTAGAGTAGTGGCTATTAATTTATGTTTTCAGAGTGTTGCATTTGCTTATACCGTAGGATGTACGAAAATTACCGTGCAAAAATGAAGAATTTTAAACACGGAGTTGATAGGTTCTATGAAGATAGTGAAATAGAGAATGCATTGAAAGAAGCTAAAAGTGGTCTAGAAACAACACTGTGCAAAAGTAGTGATTTTATTTTATATTTTTAAGCCTGATTATGAGTCTCTTTGTGTATATCTTTTCATCATCTGTTTCAGGTTTACGTTGGCAATACAAATATGTATATTTTTAAAATGCATGACTATTGCTTTTCCCCACCTTTATGTGCCAAATTACATGACATTTTGAATTTTGATTATTTTTCATGGCAGTTCTTTTAAACAGGCCTCTTCTACTTGCAAGGTTATTTAGAAAAAAATATTCTTATTTCTTATAAAAATATGAACTGTAATAGTTTTTGAAGCTCTACTTCTTCATGTAAGATAATTTATTCCCCTTTCTAGTTGAATCATTTGGTACAAAGGAGCATCGAGAGCGATTGACTAATGGTCAGATCCACAAAGAAATGGAAACGATTTTGAAATCGCTAACCCATCAAGAAGAAGGAATAAAAGCCGAGCTATCATCTCTTGATAAAATGGTAGCTAGCACTTGAAATAATTTTTTTCTGGTCCAATAAAACTTTTTTCAATGTCTCAAGCTTTTTCATCGACAAAGATATTGTCTTTCTGTTTATTATAAAGATTCAAAAGCTCATAGCAATGAAATCCTGTTCAAGCTCAAGTCAGGTCAGAATAACAATCATGTAGAAGAATAATAAATCTGTTGTTGACAGCCAAACAGAGATTTCAGATGGGGAGGACAGATAAGCCAGGGGATGCTCACTCTCATAAGAAAAGAAAGAAACTCTTTCTTTTCACTAAGATTGAGCTGTGCATATTTGCCTGATAGGCAGAGCTGTTAAAGTTGCTTATAGAAAAGAAGGATTTATTGATCCTATATAACTTCAGCAAAACCACGATAGAAAAGCGAGCAAAAATCGTTTTAGAAATCTTTCTTGCATCACGATAACGCCTTTAAGCGAATAAGTAATGTCACATCAAGAGGTTACGATCCTCTTGCCATGTTTAGTCCATGTTTAAAAGCAACTAAGATAGGGATGTCATCAGTAGCGTGCCTTTATATTTCAGACAAGGAGGGGAGGGGGGGGGGGGGTGGAGGGCCATGAGTAGTAAAATTTACCAATGAATACGCAGAAGAATAAAAACTTGGGCGCTGTTTCACCTAAAGATAGGCGATTTTACCGACCAACTAAGAATTTTGTGGACCAACTGAAGGTTTACCGACCACCCCCTACAACCCCCGCTAGCTACACCTCTGTTAGTCATTAATCATGGTCACCCTGATGAATCTTTCAGAATTTTAGGACGATATACTAAGATAAAAAGATCTATATCTGTATGTTACTGTTACTGAGATCTACAAAACGTAGCTCAATTATATACAGTTTGTTCGATTGCTTCACACAAATAGCTATTTCATTCCTGATGTTAGCTTTTTATTTTAATGCAAAACGAATTTCAATTTTCGTTAGCAAAGGATGTGTCACGAGTGTAAAATGGGTGTGAAATCAGAAAATTGTTCAAAGGATACCCTCAAGGATTTCTGTTTATTGAAGAAAAGTGATGATAGATATTCCTATATTACGAACTGCTTTTTAGTATGTTTTCTTTCAATGCATGATTGATACAATGATCCTATTTTATTCTCGATTTAGAACACAAATATTTATTCAAGAATGGCTCTTAAACAGGGAATTTTTGCTTTTATGAACATGGTTCATATTACTTTTGTGAATAAAGCATACTGTTAAGACATGATTTATCAGAAATATATTTGAAACACGAAAAACATTTTCTGAAGAATGGTTTGTCATAAGTTTGCTTACCTCCTAGGCCTTCTTTCTATACTTTTAAGCATTTATAGATTGATGCATAAATAAAATTTCAGTTATTTTACCTGCAGATTCTTGAAGAAAATGAAAAAAGAATAAAAGTCAAGCAAGGAACTGAAATGATGCAGGTTTGTCGAAATTTACGTTGAAGCTAAAAAGCCTGTCAAAAGTCGCGGAACACCAACACCCTTTTTGTCATTAACATTGGCTGTATCTCCTTTCCCTTTGAAACTAGGATAGCTGAGGTGTATTTCCAACATTGTTTGGGAGAAAGGGGTAACTGTGCTGTTATAGGCGTGAATTGAAAATATATCGAGAATTGATTGAAACTGCCTCATGTTAAAAGTATTTTTTGCATGCATTGTAGTCATCATGAAAGAGACATATACCAGAGATACTAATGGCAACTGAATTTGGCCAAGGCTGGAATCTGCTGAAAATTGTACCCACAGAAACAACATAATCTTGACATTTTTTTAAAACAAAATTCATTTACATTACTTCTGTAAAGGAAAAGTCTTCGACAACAATTTGAATTTTTTCTTTGCTACTTATGAGAACAATGCATCTTTGCACCGCAAAGTTTGCAGTTGATTGAACAGTTTTCTTAATTCCCATAATTTAGCTTTCTAAAGCAAACCACAAAGTTGAAGGGTTACATTATTCTATACAGCTATGAAAATCTCTATCGTTTGATTCAAAAACGCCCATTTGATTCATAAATTTGAGAAGTACAGTATCTAATTTCGCAGACCAAAGGTCATGGATAACCAATCCTTTGGCAATTCTAGGGCACTTATAAATGAATCTCAGGTAGGCTTAGCAACAGTCTACCTCATTTGAATGTAGAATGAATTTTGTGGCGTAGGTGTACTTACGCTCTCTCGATAACCTTTTCCGATTCCAATTGATGTTTTACAGAACAAAAAATATAGACTTGAAGTATTTATATTTGTTGTTGTTACGTCCTATTTTCCGAACGTAGTTTTTTTCTTGAGACAACTGAGAAGCTGTGCTTTATCGAGCAGGGCACTTCTTCTCTATGGAGATATGATAATTTACGAGTTGCGAGTTGTGAGTTGCCAGTTGCCAGTTGCAAGTTGCCAGTTGTGAGTTGTGAGTTGCCAGTTGCCAACTGAAATTTGATAAAGAGTCAAATTATAGGGAATCTAAGCATAAATTAACATTTGATGAAAACAGCCATGCAAAGACAATGGCCTGTGACATGTGCCACATCATATTTGGGCAATCTTATCAAGGTCAACAGGAAGCACTGATATGTGATTGTGATTGGCTAGAATTTAACAGCAAGTGGCTTGAGCCAAACTTGAATTTTGGAACAAAATATGAATGAGGAGCAGGATGTCAATCATTTTGCAAATGAAAGTCCCTCAGACAACTTCAAATTAATTGCCATGTTGAGCTTTCACAAAATGTTGAATGGAAAATGATAGCACTTATTTCGCTCAAACTGAGGAATCTTGGATTCAAGATTTTCTTTGAATCTGGTTTCTCAGAAGGTAATCATTGCTCGTAATGACAATACATTTTCTCAGAGGGTAGTTAAGCCTTTCAACTAAACTGTGATGCAAAGCATTTGATTTCAGAGAGTTGGTTATGATCTAGTTGTGAAATCTTTAGGGTTGCATATCAAGCAACGCATCTGCATGCTTTGGAACCTACATGCAGTGCGGGATACAGTGGTATAGGTACAACCTTGGAGCACTGAGGGCAAATGATCCCACAATTTTACCATTAAAAATTGCCCTTTTTGTTTAAAGAAGCTTCAATTTTGAGCTTAGCATAATGGAAGAGTGCCTTCTTGAAGTGTGGGGCCTCCACATATTGGATGCCTCCTACTCCATTATAATTCATGATTTTAAACTGAGACAAGAAATTATGAAAATTTCAGTGTTAAAATGCATAGTTTTCATCTTGAATCAAGATACTTTTTTGTGGCCTGATCAGAACTTCTTCTGACAAAATGTGTACTTTTTTGGCCCCAGTCAACCCAACCCATTGAATATATTCGGTGAAATATCCACTCGTTAATTTCATTGTTGAAAATTACAAATTTACAGAGAGAGAGATAGAGAGAGAGAGAGAGAGAGAGAGAGAGAGAGAGAGAGAGAGAGAGAGAGAGAGAGAGAGAGAGAGACTTGGTTATTTCAGGGACTCCAAAATTTTATTCATTATCTCTCTAATTTCTGAATGATTTATGACTTACTGTTGCGTAGTAAGGAGGCTCACTGCGACTGCGACTTACCTTTCTTGAACTGGTAAAAAATGTGTTTCACTGTGGTTTCCAAGCAATAGATATGGACATCTCGCCCCTGAAGCCGAATTTGTTTGCGTACTTAAAGGTAAAATGTAATGAAGAATGAACGCCAACGTTCTTTTTCATACGGTCATTTGGTTGGTCAAATCGACTGTGTTGGCTAATATATATTTATACTTTTACTAACAGAAAAGAAATGCTGCTCAATTAACTCGCATAAAACGCCAACTGCAAGAAGGGAGCACAAGAACAAGAACGCTGGAAGAAGAAATTCTCAAATTAGAGAACAGAATCAACCATATGAAGTCCACCTTGATTGGTTGAGATCTAAAATACACTTGATTGCTCCACCGAACGACAAAATTACGCATCCTGACAGACAGAAGTGCCATTTCTCCTTTTCATATGTATTTTCAGTCATGTTAGTGCATATAACATAACATATCTATTTTATCTGTTTTTTTATCTATTTTTTATCTGTATTGGCGATGGATTCAGAATCTAGTCATATAAAAAATATCCCTTGCTCCTATAAAAGCTGCCCAGTATCAAAACTGTAATCAGGTGTTTTCCTCTTTCTCATTTAAAGTATTTGACAGGCATTAATTTAATTTGCCAGTGATACCTAACAATGTTCTCAATACCTAGGGCAAAACCAGGTCTATTGTTTTGGGTGATTCATTTTTAG